ATTTATTTCACCTGCACAGGCCGACACGTCTACACTTGGAGGCAGGAGGAGCCTGCAATACAAGAAGTGTCCAATCTGGCATTCTTCTGTTTTCCATTCCCTTGGCCATTTGATGTCAGGTGGGTGGAAAAGACGAGGATTAGTGAAAGTGGTGGGATACAGTTCTCTCTTTGAATATCCACATAATGGTAAATGATGAATGACACCAATTTATTTTGTTAGTGGGGAGCTATTTAACATTGACTGTACCGTATGTAATTGCCACACATCAAACGGAACATGTCTAATGTTGAGACGGTGACATTTTATTGACTTTTGAAAGCTGTATGCTAATTTATGAATTCGATGCCAGTAACAAAATTCAAAAAAGTTGTGACAGGGGCAAAAAAAGAAAAAAATAGAGTCGACCAAAGCTGGAGTTCACCTCATTCGATTGTCTTCAAACTTCAAACAATATATCAGGCCTTGCAGAATACCTAGGTGTTGTGTTAGCGCCTAAGGTCAAAGTTGACATTGAAAAAAAATTCAGAGAAACCATATTGAGTAATATGTCACATAAAAGGGCACGGAGAGAGCTGTACAACACACTTATTTATTAATATGGCATCACAAAGATAGCTTAAAAGACTGAGTTTGTGATGGGTGTATTCACACTGAGTGACAGAAGAGGAAGTAAACTTCTTTTCTAATTTTCAGGGTATTTGTTACTCGCCCTTTGTGGTAATTTGTTATTTTCTGGTGGATAAACAGTTAAATATTTCCAAAGACACTATAATAGCTCTGGTATTAGCTAAAGCACCTGGTGTAGCAGCTGAATTTAAATTTCTGAGAAGTCAGTAAGATCTAATATTCCAAGTCGATGGTGTTAATGAAAGGAAATGGTTTATTTCCCAGATTGATAAAACTTTAGTGGAAAACACCACAAGGAGTCTATTCAACAATTACATGTGATGGAGGAGCCCCTATACCTCTAGCAGAGTTTCTGTGCAGTGCATTGCATTAAGTATTATGTACTTTACTTGGTGATTAAAACCTTCTGGGATATGTGGACAGAAAATGTGCTGAGTGATCTGGCATGTTTTCTGCATACTACTGCACTGGGCACATCTAATGCATTACAATGAATTATATACCACAAACTATTCCCCTGCAACTGCAGAGTGTACTAGCTTGCCATAAATTAGATGTAGTGTCATAAGTATTTCC